GGTTTTGCAAGCCAGGTGGTAATCCAGGTGGTTGGAAATACATCTGAGCTTGAATTTTCTGCATTACAGTAGCCATTTGTTGCTGCAGAGTTTGCATCTTATGCAGAGCTTGCGCCATTCCGAAGAGCCTTGGCACCCCTGGAACCCTTCGACCCGTAGAGGAACCATGGATATCCTCGCGCTGGGGTGGGCTTTTCTGCTGCTCGCCTTCCTTGTCGTTGCTATTTTTGGTCATCGTATTAGACAATACTCTTTCACTTCGAGTTATAATAGGCATAGGTTAGCGATGACAAACCTCCCCAGTGGAATCTCTAAAAGAATGCAGGTGGGGAGTTAAAAGAGGTTGACACACGTGTCTAAGCAAAGTGTAATTGAAGGGGGTGAGTAGGATAAGTGGATATAATGGAAGGAACTCGAGCAGCCTGTTAATCGAAATGACAAACCAGTTGGGCAGAGGGTAGGTGAAAAATGCTCTCACCAGCCAAAAAAATCATCCTCTATAGTGGGCAAGTAGTGTGGGTATTTATAGCACAGTGCTTGGGCAGGTCGGGTTGCCCAAAAGGCTGCCCGTCGCGACCTCCTACCACTCACGCTAACCCACAACTGTCTCGATCGCGATGACACTAATGGTCGTTAACGGCGAGCTATGTGTCATAACATTAACTAGGCNTCGTCGCGACCTCCTACCACTCACGCTAACCCACAACTGTCTCGATTGCGACGACACTAATAGTCGTTAATGGCGAGCTATGTGTCATAACATTAACTAGATAGATGTGATGGTTTCCCAAATGCAATCTGGACGTGACCCCAAGGAAGGTGTGACAGCCAAGGTGAGAGAGGGCTCCCAAGGTCCATGATCGTGACTGGTTACCGTAGGACTATGATCTTGAGAGGACCATGCCCACGATGCCCCCAACGCGCTCTAACCCGGGATCATTTTTCTTCCTCTCTAGACCCTTACCAGTCCTGCAGCAGGGGAGGCGAGTCTTGCTGAGGTTGCTCCCACACTTCTGCGATACCATTCCTGCAAAGGGGCGTCGCACTTAGGTTGGCCCATACTTATGTGATTCCACTTTTGTCCACATTGGTGAAGGGTCCACTTTTTCACTTCCAATGTGATTGAGATGTATGTCGCCTTGTTGCGATGTTGTGCCTGAGAATGTCACGCCCAGGGGGGCGTTGCGCCAATGGAGTGTCGCACCAAGGGAGCGTCACGCCCAGGAATGTTGCACTTGTTATTGTTGTCTATACCAGTCCAACTGAACTCTGTCGGGCCCCTTTCCATGTCAACTGATAATCGTTGCTACTTGTCCTGTTATAGCGGAGACACGTGCTTTGAAGTTTTTCGAGTACTACAGTATGATATAAATCTAGCTGAAAGTCATGCCTTTGTCCTTTGTAAAATCTAGTTTGGCATTGATGCAGTAGCATGTACTTAAGTGGAGGAAATTTTATATTTTTTTAACTTCACAAATTTCTAGAATAATGCTATAGTAAATCTGCATAAAAAAACTAATTTTCACCATGGAGCATAATACCCCTGTTTTAGTAAACTGAAAATTTTCTGCTACGCCTCATTTTGGAAAGGTCGACCACAACTTCCCTAAAATAGGATGCAATTACACCTATCCTATTTCTATTTATCAAAAGAAAATGAGGATTTAATAGTCAAAAAGTGAACAAATTTTGTCAGTTTGTCCTCCACAATCCAGATAGAATCATGTCATTTATGAGTATAAGGATTTAAATGGCAAATTGAGCTCCACGGTTTGATTTATCCTCTTTGATCTTCAAGGGTTCCTTTGAAGATCTTGAACATACCATTGTGGGTTTGGTGGCAGATGATCTTTCTTCTTCAAAGTTTGAAGGTGTAGAAGCAGACGGATTTTGTAGATGAAGGCCTTTGGATGCTTAGGGATCTCTAGGGCTATTCTTGGCTCTCTAGATATCAATTCTTGATTTTAGAGGTATATAGAGGCATAGCCTATTGAGAAAAGACATGCTCATATGTAGAGGCCCATACATAGAGTTTAATTAGACAAAAAAAACTTAAATTCGCGAGAGACTAATCAAGTTATGAGAGGCCAGTGGTCACTAGAAAGAGAAAATCTTGAGTCTTTTTTATATATTATATGGATGATCCGATCCACAAAAACCATTATTGAAAATTGTTTGATCCCAATGAAAACCAACAATTTCAGACTAGTTATATAAGGACCGCTCGAGTTGTTTATAGGCTGCTTGAGCGGCTAGATGGCCGTTTTTATTATCCAATTTTTTATCATTGCTTGGTTTTTCCCTGAATGTTTCAAAGACGGCTCAAACCAAAAGCCAGCGAGCTTAGGATGATCTTTATTGATATTTTAAGCCTAAAACCAAACAAAAAAATTTGCTCTGTTGAATGCTAAGAGGCGTTACTCAACAAGTGTCTGATTCATTACTTAATTTATGTTTTCAAAATAGCATTTGAAGTTTCCAAAGTATTTTTCTATAAAAATCCTAAGAGTCATGTATGGAACAATCCTAAATTCAACTATTAAACCTAAGTAGCCAAAATAAAAATACAAAGGGTAAGTTAAAGTCGCTAAGGTTTACCTTTCCTAAGTTTTGAAGGATCTAGGGAAATCATCATGATGCGACTTTGTAGCTTTGAACTTCTTTCTTCTTCTAGCTTTGGATATTTACCTTTGCATCGTTGTAACCATAGATCTAGATGAGATTACATTGTGACCTCATGATATTTGTCAATTACAATGGTCAATTTCTTAACAAACTTTAGATTTTTTGTTGGCAATTTCACATGTTCCCACTAATCAAGAGCTCGATCCTTTAATTTATATGTTACTAGCCCGACCTTCCTCTCTCAGGAATTTCATATGATAATAAAAGAACCATTCAACTTTAGCCAGCCTATCAAGAAAATTTTCCTTATGAATGTAACCATCAATACTACGTAGGTAAAATTTAATACAAAAAAATCCTAGACTCAGCCTTTATACTTACATCCACCAAATATACTTGTATCATATTCATCATCATCATCACTAGAATCTGCAACATAAATAGGTTGTCATTTAATGGGAATATGATAAAGATTTCGAGCAGATTGAATACAAGCCCTATCATTGTTGTTAACTTTATTTCAATCTGGATGCTGATTCCTTCTAGACATTAGCCAAGCTATTGGATCGTAAAACTCATGATTGGCTTGCTAGGACGAACATTGATAACTAATAAAATTGGCTCTTGAAATAGCACTTTCCATAGGATCACCATCCCTGAAAAAAGTTGTCAGCACTATGTTGATTAGTGATCATGTGAGGTCAGTTAAGATTCTAACACTAATTAATGCAGCCGTACGTAATGGACACAACCAATAAAACACATGTCTAATGAAATTAGAAAAGTAAACATGATTAGGCAAATAATTAATATAGAATATTCCTAATTAAATTCTCATCATAACAAAATAATAAAAAAAATAAAAACAAAAACTAGCAATTCTTGTTCTACATCACATTATATCCTAAAATCAAATAAAAAAATAACAATGTAGTTTAAAGTCGATGTTTGTTGCATTATTTGAATTTTTTTTATCATATTTGTGATATTATTCTATTTTTATACATAGTTGAAGAGACATAAAATTATGTCACATGTATAGACAGGGTTATACACACACATAATCATGCAAGGGTAGGTCGCGTGGGTTACAAATATAAGCAGCTTGGGACAAATTGCAATAGCTCGATTCATACTGTCGAGCATAAGTGTATAGTTCGGCTTAAAGGCGTGGCATGAACTGAACAACAGGATAAGCGCCTAAAATTAGGGAATTTAGGTATAACAACTAATTGAAGTTAATGATTTAGAAGAACTGTAATTAGGGGACACGTTTAATAAACGGGTAAAAAATTTCAACACGAACACGACACGAATCGTTTAACCCGTTTAATTTAAAAAAAAATTATATCAACAAATTTTAATACATCACTTTTTTTCCTACCAATTATATTTATCTCAAAAAAGAGAAAATTTTTATCCAAATTTCACATAAAAATCAGATTTGAAGGCTAAAAAAAAAAACAAGAGGTCATTGCTTTTTATAGGTAAGACAACCTTCTCCATCTCCCCTCATTTGTCGATGTAGGACAAAACAAAAGGGTTGATTGTCTTTCTCATGAACTGTTCCCATCTCTTCTCCTTTGTCTTTGAACTATTAATTTATTTTACTTTTTTTTGTATTGATTTCTTTATTTTTTTTGGCTAATTTTTTAAAATAATTATTAATTTGTTATTATATTAATTTTATTTAAACGGATAAATGTGTTATAAACAGTTTGATAGGTCACACTTAAACATAACCCGTTTATTAAACACGTTTGGCGGGTTAACTCTTTTACCACCCAAACCCGTTAAAATCTCACAAAAATCTACTTAATTCGTGTCAGTTAATCGTATCGTGTCGAATTTTGACAGGACTAATTGTAATTGAGGCAGCAGCGTCTAAGAAATTTCTGCGATCTCCATCAAATATTTCAGAATGAAGGGAGATGTGCCATTTCCCACAAAAGTAAAGGAAACCCTAAAACATGACAAAACCTATATAAAATAGTCAAGATACTTAGCAATAAGTAAGTAAAAAATTTCTTTTTACATATATATTTTTTTACATAGTTATTATTTTAAGTATCAGAGTGTTTTCGATCGAAGTATTTTGATCCTAGATAATTTGTTCATTTTTGCAAGGAGCGCTTTTAAAGAGAGATAATTTTCTTCATCAAACTTTGGAGGTACTGAGATTTTTTTTTTCTTGCAATAATTATATACATAATACTTAATTTTAAAAAAAAATTGAGCAGGATAAATTAAGAATACGAAAACCCTTTAGGCGGGACAAAGCGCCGTTCTCCCTTTCCCTAACCCCCGCAACAAAATTTTCCGCCACCCGTATAGAAACCCCAAACACGCTTGTCGTCTCTTTTCCTCTGTAGACAATGTATAGACAACCACGAGGCCACCGCCCCCACGGTGGCAGTCGTGGGGCGGCGCCACCGCCACCATCACAACCTCCACCACCACCTTTCAACCCGAACTTCCTCCAAACCCCTAACCTATACATCCAAAACCCTAACTTCTTAATTACCCCCAATCCATTCCTCCAAAACCCCAACTTCAGTTTCCAATTCCAAAGCCCTAATTTCCCGATCCAAAAGTCCAATTTTCCTCAACGACCTCCAAGGCCTAATGAAGCTATTGAAAAAATTGATCGAGCTGTCGTGAAGGCTCGCCAAGATCTTCTTGCTGCTGGAGAAACTGTTTCGGCTTGGAAAGTCTGTCAGGCTGCACTATTGACATTGCAAGTTGATTCTTGGGATTCGTTGGGGTTTCATATGCAACAAGTCCCGTCTCTTCACCGCCTTATAGTAATAGAAGGCAAGGTAAGATGAGAAATATAAATATTTTCATTAAGTTTTCTGTTTGGTTGCTCAAAATTTCGAGGATTTGTTATTCAGGATAGCTTAATTTTGTATCTTATATTGACAGAAGGAAAGCTGAGATGAGACGTGTTGCACTCAGTGATTTGCTTAGTTGCTAAATTTTTAATCTTCCGTTTTAATATCTGGGTGTCAAGAAACTCTTTTACCTTTATTTTTGACTCCATTGAACTTCATTCAGCTCTGTGTTAAAGTGAGTAGTCATCTTCACCGCTTCTGGAATTGAGATGGCAAAACTATGAGACTCAATATGTTGTTCTGTTTCAGTGTTTTTTTTTTGTATTTTCACAGTCAAAATGGAGGATTGAACTATTTTTGGTTGCAAAGAGAATAGTTTAGGAGGCAATTAATTATGCTTAGCGGGATTAGCTTAACTTTTTTAGACTCTGAGTTAACGTGAATCATGTTGTCCAGCATGTTATTTCTTCTCCTTTTGTTGGTTTTCTAAAAAAACAGAATTTCTTTTTGTTTCTTTTATCTTTGAGTGTTTTTTGAATACTTATTTTTCTTTGGTTATTTTAGATAAACGCATTTATTCACTGCTTTGTTGCCGCCCGAAGAATTACTTCATTGTATGATTTGGAAGTAGCAATTTGCCAGAACGAGGGCGTTGAGCGATTTGAAGAGCTTGAATTAGGCCCTTTGGTACGACACCCACTTGTTGTACATTATTTTTCTGTGAGTTCTGATATGACAGAAGTTTTCAGGATAACTAGTGAACAGATAATTTATAGTCTTTGTGAGTTCAGGGATACTCACACAGGCAAAGAAATTAAGATGGAGGAATTATTGGATTTTATTGCCGAAAAACGATCAGTCACAGGCAGGGAAAAGCTTGGTGTGCGTATTCAAAGCTTGGGGTATGTAGTTCTTTACTTCTGCTTATACAAAATTTTGACAGGAAGGCATTAAATATCACACATTAAAGGGACATGTGTAGATAACGGCACCGGTCTATGATTTCAGAGAAGGCAAAGATCCAAATTTCGTTTCGAAATTGTCAAAATGACAGAAATATTTTTGTTTTTATGGAAATCGAAACAAATCGGTCATTGAATGTCGAGTTTGCATGTTTCGAAGTGTTTTGGGATGTTTTGACCAATGTTCTGGAATGTTTCGATCAATGTTCCGGAATGTTTTGAAATTTTTTTTTTCTCCATTTTCATTTTGTTTCCGAATTATTTCCAAAACATTTCCAAAACGTTTTTATTTCTTAGGTATACACCGAAATGAAATTTTGATACTTGAGTGACGGTTGTCTTACAATAATAATCATGCTCTTTTGGCGGCATGGAGTGAATTTTTATTTTTTTCAATAAAAGAAGAATTTTATTATAGAATGAAAAACAAGAGAAAACAAATTACAATATGGAGGACAAGATATCCTCTAAAATAAAAAGAAAATGCAAAAAACATATAAATGAAATTCTCAATGAAAGCTAAGATAACCCTGCCTTCTAACAAATGTATCATAAAATTGCATGGGTTATGCCTTCACTACCATAATTGAACCATTAAGGGTCCAGATATTCAAATATATAGATCTATCCAAAGCTAATAGAATGACTAATTTTTAATCATGGTTCGAAAGAGGCACATATAATGTGTGCCTTCCAAATTTTTAGCACTTGTTGAGGCATAGTTGCAAGCTTGCATATTGATGTTAGACAATATTTTAATTGGATGAGTTAGATTCTTGTACACTCATTCATGGAAAGGCAGACAAATTCAGATACAAAATATTTTTGCTAGTCTTATGCAACACTGATCCCTTTTCTTTTATCCGTACTGATGTAGCAAAATGCTCAAATCTGCTGTAAGTTGTTTAGAGCAAGAATCAATGAATTTCCAGTAATAATATTACAAGAAAAACAAGAGCATATGAACTTCAAGGGCAAAGAGACCCAAGAAAGACAGAAATTCTGATTTTCTAGAATAAGATAAAGAAAAACTGCCTAAAAAGACTCATAAAACTGTATTTATACGATTGTTAGCAGTAGCCCTAGCATCCTAGCCCTTGATAACTTCAATAACTTTTTAATCCTAGCCCTTCAACATAAAATACTGTAGAAAATAGAAACATGACTCAAAAATTTGCTAACTAAAGCTCAAGCTAAGCCTATTAGTGGGCCCAATTGGTCTTGATATGCCTGCTAGATGCTCCCGCATCACATATGCTTACAGATTTAAACATTGTTGAGTTGAAACTTTGTAGGCATGCCATCTGGATTCTTGTATCCATCTAGTCATTTTGGAGGAGCTTGATATTTTTTGTGGGTTCAACTTTTAATGTCTTAATGTTATGCAACCTTTTTGATGTGAAAGGCAATGTGGTGGTTTTTTTGGTTGTCATGACTCATGAGACATCTATATTATCTTCTCTCAGTTATTGATGTGAACTTAAAGCTAAGCAGATGTTGGTTTAACTTTGAACTAATGGAATTTATGGTTCGTAGGATGCATATTGCACTTATCAAACAAGCACGGCAATCGGGAAATACTGTTCTACAGAAGTGTCTTGAGGGTTTGAAAACAAAACCTGGTAAAAATAGAAGGAAACGTCCTCTTTTTTCGTCACAGAAGAAGCAGCTGGATGACCATTTCAGTAATGTATCAGAACGTATCAAGTCATTCTCCTCGGAAAATGAAGATTTTTGTGGAAAGCATATAAAATTTATTTCATCGAGTTCAGATGATGATGATGATAGTGCTCATTATGAGAATGAAGATGGAACAAAGGATGTACAGAGTGACTGCAAGCCCTTATCACAAAATATAAATAGTTCTGATCAAGTTAGTGGTTGTCCTTACCCTTCAGCAGCTGAAGAGATAATGCGGCTTGGGTTGAAAAGTGAAATGAATGGCAACTCTTCTTCTGTTAGTGGCAGCCTAAAAAATACTGAGAGTAATGGGCCATCTAAAAGAAAGAGAAAATCTGAAAATATAAGCTGCACCATCTCTGCACCCCACAAACTGCCTAAGAGAGACAAGGTTGAATCAGATCTTTCTGTTGATGGAAAGAAAATGGGTAGAAGTAACCTGAATGAGGCTGATTATATACTTTCCAATGATTCTATGAGGATGTTCATTACGACATGGAAGGAGGCATGCCTGGAGAACAATGTCGCTGAGGTAACTGAATACTTTTAGCTTAAATTATCTTCCAGTATTGACAGTTATCTCTATTGAGATGTGTCTGACATCGGCTTGTAGTTTTGTGTTATCTTCTTCTACCTTCCTTTTTTTGGTAAATAATATTTTTATATTGACTGAACTGTAGCTTTTAGGTAAAAGGTACAGGGGGTATTCCTCCGGAAGATACAACTGAGATAAAAAATTTTCAACGTCATAGACTCGTAGCTACATTTTGTCTGTCACAGTTCCCTCTAACAACCTATGCAAATCAGTTTGAGAGCAGTACCTTCATTGGGTAAGCCCGTAATCCCAAAAAAGGTGGAACACTGGCCATAAGGTGACTGCATTTAGCTCAGGCTCTGGTCATTGGACATTCTATCTTCTCGACAAACTTTGGGTTTGTGTTATATTACTTTTTCTTTTGATAGGAAACGAGAAAGTAGTATTAATGGTAATAAGTGAAATGTGAATGAGATGACAAGGAATTCTTTAAGTAATCAAAAGGAAAATTAATAAGGAAAAACAAAATTGAGAAGCTAAAAAAGCCCACTGATCCTTAATAAAAAAACAGAATTCATCAAAATCTTTAGTTGCAGCAGTGCTATGAATGTAAAAGCGGGTTTGGGTTGTATTCTTCCACTTCAAAGAAACAGTCAAATGTATTTCTTGTAGAAGTGAAGGAACATTTTTGTACTTCTAAAAATCATGTTTTTCCTTTCATGTGTTATGTTTTTTCTTTCACACCATGTAGACTACGCCATAAGAGCTAGACAAAGTTTTCTGATCAGCTTTATTATTGCCTTCCTTTTCCATTCATTTGTGGCCTAATTGATGAAATTTGTGGAGGGTCTACGGTATCATTTGCATCCTTATTTGGTGATTCAAAGAATAGATGTCGAAGAGATTCCATTGCTGTTCTGTATTAAACACGACCTATGGTGATTTTGACTACAGTATTAGATCCTATTTTGTGTTACAGCTTCTCCTTTGTTGCAAGCCACAGAGTTGAAAACTGTATTGGGACATGAGTATGCTAACTTTTCATCAAACTCCATAAACTAGTGATCATTTATTTGTCTTGGGATATGAATATGCGAGGCTTAGAATAGTGATGAACTGATGATGTATATTGATGTGCAAATTCAGGTTGAGTCATCACCCTAAGTTCCTAACAATTGAAAAAATGATAGACAAGTTTCAATTGGAAAGTCAAATTTGGAGTGCATTCTTTATTACGGGGATGGTGAAACTCAAGGATCAAAATCTCATTTCAGTGCATAATGTTGGTCAGCAGGAAATGAAAATGTTGCGATAATGTTCCAATAATATTTCGGAAACAAAGAAAAAAATTGAAAATTTCCTAATGTTTCCTATGGAAACAAAGGAAAAATTTTAAATTTGTTTGCGAAACAATCTGAAACATTAAATGAAACGTAGTGAAACACATCAAAACATACTGGACTAGCTCAAAACATAGGAATTTCAATATTTAATCATTGATTTATTTCGATTTTTCTGGAAACAGAAACTTTTAAGATGTTTCGATTATTTCGGAATGAAATTTAGTTCCTTGGTGAAGCTACTGCTCATTTGAACTTGAGATGACTGTAGATAGCCACAACTTCACCGGGCTCCTATGTTTTAAAAATTGACGTCATTTGACCCGTTTAAAGCTGTATACCACAGTATGCTTCTAGTGTACTTTGCAGTCTTTTAAGGCAAAAAACTAGCCTGAAATGGACTAGGCCTGATGGCTTAAATGCTGGCTCTTTTCTTATTGATGGCAGATCTTACCATTGTTCCTGCTGCTAGATTGGATTGAACTAACAGTAAGCCTTGTATTTTTAGGTTGGATATCTTATATACTATGTTGTACTCCTTTAATTAAATGAAATACGAGTTTTGTTTCATATCCAAAAAAAAAAAAATTGATAGTAAGCCCTCTGAAATAGATGATTCTTGAGGATGATTGCCACAGCCTAGAAATGGTGCTGTCTGTTCATATGAGTGCTGAAGGATAATGAGATAACTTTGCAACAGTTTGCAGTTTGCCTGCTGTGCCATGTCATGTTGGCCAGAACACTGTTCAATGTTATAGGGGTATAATTCTTGTATCATCTCTTTACTGGTTAAGCTCTCTCTCTAATCTGGGCCTGGGTGTGAGTGTGTTTCTGAAGCAGGACATGGATTATTCCTGGATTGGCCATCTCTCTTGCCAAATAGCAATTCTCCAATGACCATACTTCCCCCCCTCCCCCTTTTCCTTCCCCATTGTATGCGTGTGTCTGCGACATTATGGCTCTACCCATATTGATCTGTGCAACAGTCAAAGCAGTGGATTAAATTGAAATGCGGATTTGAGTTTGAGGTGTCTATGTCATTCGTGTGAAGCTAGAGATTAGGTCTATAGCTGATGCACCCCTCTCAGCACCTACATTCAAAGGACTAGCATTGGTAGTGACCTTTGCTCACAAATTCTCTATGGTCTGTGTGGAGTGTCATGACTGCTCTTTCAACAGCTATAGTATCTTAAATGATTGAGCATAGAAATTAGTGTCTCAAGTGCATGCAATTGATATTTAGCATTTTGACTAAATTGAAATATTTATTAGATTGTGGCAACATCCAAATGTGTTGTTGATCTTGTTTTCTCTCTTCCTCTAGGGGTATTGATGGCCTGCATGTCTCCAACCTATGTTTATTAGGTTACATTCATCAAACGTGGTGCACACCGTGTGGTTTTTTTTGTTATTATTGTTGTTAATTTCAAGGTAAGATGCTGAAGCAAACAATTACATCTCAGACAATCTAGTTGTGTGTATTCCTGTGTGTGTGGGTGTGTATCTATTTGTTCTTTCATATAGGTCTCTTTATGTTTCAATTCTTCTAACATGAGATATTGTTGAGCATGGGCCTGCCATATGTGCTTTCTATTTATTTGCCAAGGATGATGCTGAATCTCAGTAGGTTTCTTTGTTTGATTTTAGGTTTTTGAGAGGATGCTTCAGTTGTATAAACCCAAGAAAAGACAGCAAGTGAGAAAAATGTTCTCGTCATACCCATGTGTGGGATTGCTAAATGTTGCTGTAAGTAATTGTAGTCAATTCTTTGTATCATAATTGTGGCAAATGTTGATTGTTATTTCTTGAAGGTATGAATGAAGTGCTATTTTTCATAGTTGAACATCTTAGGCTACCGCCAATACTCAGCTATATGAACAAAAGTAGTGTTTTTGGCTGTATGTGTCAATATCCTCTTGTTTTGGGGCTAATTTGATCATGCATGCATGATCTAGAACACAGGATTCGCCCCTATACCTCAACAAATTTGCGCTCGGAACGCGAATCCACAGATTTGACACATTCGTGGCTTCAAAAATTTAAATCCGCAAATTGGTCATTTTTGGGATCCACTCCACAATTTCACAAAAGTTTAAACTAATTATTAAGTTGGACCTTGACCCAAGCAAAGTTTGTCAATATTCTAATGTAATGGGTCCCCAAGATAAGGCCCAATTACTGAACAAAAAGAACAGTACAACTGGGCTTATTAGCTGCCTTCCCATTCCACTTACCCATATACGACCGATGTGGGATTCAAGTGCTATTTATCACTATATTTCCATTCAACTTACTGTTAAGCTACCAATGTGGGATCAATAATTTGCAATAAAATTCTATTATCCTTTCCCTATTTGTTTACTACCAAGTAATTTTATTTCTCATTTTTAACACTTTGACATCGTGTATCAATATGCCATATATATAAATTTGACGCTCGTATTGACGCTTCGGCTCTCAACTTTTTTTGAAATTTTTCGCTTTCACTCTTGCACCCTGCTCTATGTGATCTAGCGCATGATTAGGTTCTACTAGGTGCATTTCCCGAATGTACTAAAGGCACATTACTACTTGGCTAAAAAAGAGGAATAGGTTGGCTTTTAAATAGTATTGGTTAGATTAGATGTGATTTGGGCTTTGGTTCAAGGGCAATTATGAGTTAATGCCCAACTAGTGATGTTTAAAGGAGAGGTGGTGTGTCCTAGTTAGAAAGTGTATGCTAGGTAGGACTATTAATCGCGTTGAGCTTTTTGAGCTTGAGTGTGCTCAGTCTATCGTGGCTCGAGTTTATGTTGGGTTTTCATATTCGACTTGAGCTCAATCACCTACCTTTGAATTTTTCTAGGGCTAGGCTTGTTTTTTGGGGCTCGAATTTGAGCTCAAGAATGATCTTTATAAGTAAGTTAAGAAAAGCAAATCGCATTCAAAAGAAATAATATTACCAATTAAAATATCTAGAAGCCATCTTATGTAGATTCAATTAAAATACCTAGAAGTAAATTGCATTCAAAAGAGAGGGGAAAAATTCAATAAAAGTAACCAAGAAGCCATTTATAGGAGATTGAAATGGCGATTGGCAACTCTGTCTGATGGGTTCTCTTCAATAGTTTTTGTAACATTCGAAACTCATCCCTCATTTAGATTTGTTTACTCAAAACCTAAATATTTTGGATCTGCGTGCATGTATCCTTTATTTAGTTTTGCAACTCATATATGAGGATTTCTTTATATGCGAGTGGATAGATATCATCCTAGATCTTTCACAATCCCCACCAACTACCTCTAATGATGAAACCACAATCCCTCACTTTTCTCTCTTTAAATTTACGTTTCAAATACATAGAAGAAAAATATATACCGAAGGAAGGAAGAGAGAGAAAGAGCGAGAAAGAGATGGGGGTGGGAGGAGTTGTGTATGAGAAAGAAAGGGGAGAAATGAGGTTTGTAATCTCTGTAATATGCCTTCTTTGATGGCAAGTAGGATTGAAGGGATGATGCATGATTTTTTATGTGATTGTAGTGCTAAAGGTAGGAAATATCATTTGATTAGGTGGGAGGTTGTGTCTAAGCTCGGAATTAAAGGTGGTCTTTCGGTGGGTAATTTGAAGGCCCTAAATAAAGCTTTGGTTGAAAAATGGCCTTGGAAGTGTTCCCAGGAGCAAAATTCATTGTGACACTCAGTTATTAGAAGTAACTATGGTTAACAGGCCAACGATTGAGTGAAAGGGGCAGTTTTTGAAATCCTTGAAAATTCATTCTTTAGGGATTACCACCCTTTTTCTAAAGAACTAAATTTATGGTGGGTAAGGGGTAAGGGGTAAGGGGTCAGGGGTAGAGGGTTTAGTTTTGGGAGGAGTTTCGGATTGGGGAGTCATCCTTCGCTTGGTGGTATCCTCATGTCTATTTCTCGTCTTATCATCATGCTTGCATTGCTCCAATGGTTAGGTCTTATTCTTATCCCATGCATTGGAATTTTGGTTTTCATAGAAATCTAAGTGATTTGCCAATTTTGGAATTGGTATCTCCTCTTCCTCTGCTTAGTAATACATCTTTAATCATGATTCATTGGATAAAAGATGTTGGGTCATCGATTCTATGAGATTGATTTATTTTTTGACCGATGATTCTTCTCTTTCAATTTTTTATCCATAACTAAAAATTTGGAAGGTTAAATTGCTTTAAAAGTGTAAGTTTGTGCATGGATCATTGCTTATGGTATTATTAACACTAATGATATACTTAAAAAAAGACGACCTAACACGTCTTCTACCTCAATGGTGTGTTTTTTGTAGGAAGGATTGTGAGAGTGTGAATCACTTATTTTTGCATTGCCCGATTACTTGATCTTTGTGGGACAAGTGTTTTGATGTTGCCGGAAATCTAATTCATCTATGTTTTGTGTGGATTTCCATGGCTTTGGAAAGAAAAATAAAGGCTTCACTCTTTGGGATTGTGCGATTTTTGCTCCTATATGGGTGATTTGGATGGAGATAAATACAAGAATTTTTGATGATAAATGTGAGGTGATTGAGGGTTTATGGAATTGCATCTATTTCCTTGCTTGTTTTTGGGCTTCGATCACTAAGGATTTTGACAACATGACCCTTTTGGTGTTTTGGGGAGTTGGACCACTGTTTGTAGCTACTAGAAGAATATTATGTTTATGATTGGTGTAGTTGTAGGACTGTTATGTTTGTTTTGCATTAGGCTTGGACTACTTGTACAACCTTGCTCTCTTTTTGTACTACTTTTTTGTTATTAATTATTATTAATAAATTTTTGTTACCTATCAAAAAAGGAAAAATTGTAATGAGGTGAAAGAAGAATTAATAAATGACTTCTATATATTTGGTGGCTTGCACTATGAATTGTTACACCTCTTTCATTAGCTTATATCTAGTGCCGTTATCAGCATTGATTGACTGTCATGTGACTACGTGAGCGTGACCAAAAAATTAGGGCCTGTTTGGTTTGGTTTTTGAAAACAGTTTTTTATTCTTAAAATTCTAAAAACAAGGGGATGCTACTTGGTTAAGTTTTTTGTTCTCTAATTTTTTGAAAATTTTAGGAATTGAGGTGTGATTTTAGATAACAACAAAATGATGTTCTCATTGTTTTCTAAGTCAAAATGAAAACAAGGGAATCAACCTATTTCCATATTAATGAGGTCTCCTCTTTGAGTTTCGTTGAAGACAAAAAAGAGAGATCGTTCATTTTCTTCTCCAGTGCCTCACTGAGCTCCCCCCTCTCTCTCTCTTCAACTTCTTCTCCATCTCTCTCTCTCGCAACTACTGAAGCTTCAAATCTAAGCACAGATTTGTGCATCCACACAAATCTGTTCATTCTTTTTCTCCACCGCCTCATTGAGCTCTCTCTCTTTCTCTTCAACCTCTTCTTCTCCACCTATGTGTGAGTGTGTGTGTGTGTGTATATATATGTTTTGTGGACAGAGAGAGGGGAAAGAAAGAGAGACGGAAATTGGGGATTTTGTGAATTATTGTCCAAATATATTTTACAATTTTTTGTTCTTTAAAACTATTTTCAAAATTATATAACTAATTAGGTTTTGGAATCTAAAATTTTCAAAAACACTTTCTTAAACTCTTCTCAAAAACTATTTTCGGATTCTGTTTTTTTGAGATACAAACCAAACAGACCCTTATATTTTAGCTGCTTTCTTCTGTTGCAGGTGACATCTATCAAGTGTGGAATGTGGGATAGTATGTATGATGCTTTGCAAACTTTGAGTCAACAAGGAGTAGTAAACACAATTTTGGATAAGTCAATTGATTATATAAGCATAGAGGTTGAACCGGCTGAAAAGGATGCAGTGGTTGTCACTGAGCATACCTTGAAGTGCAAACATGGTGAGTTATGTTTGCTTCACTATAATGATTATAAATCTGTGTTTGTTTTATGCTGCCAGCATTTCTGTCTTTTTATTCAGCTTCTTAGTAGAACACAACTAGTATATTGGCATCTGGCAAAGATTGCATGAAATAGCAGAGTGGCAGGTCAACATGTTTGGTCGCTTGTACTGCTTGGTTAGATTTTTCAATTGAAAGCGCTGAGTGGCAGCCATCAAAATGTGTTTTTATAGCCTTTGAAAGTAAACTTCTACGCTATTAGATCTGGGTGGCAAAATTTAATTTTATTCAGTTCGAATGTTTTATTGGGAAGTTTTGATTGATAGTGATAAGAATTGAACCCCCAACTCTATCCTTCCTGATAGGATTCCATTGTAGTACTTAGATACTCAGCTAAGAATTGGCAGTGTTGTTTTGATGGGGTATGATAATTAAGCCCTCTAATTCTCCTTGCTATGTCACTTGGCAGAATCTGATTGCCATGAAATTTTCAAAATATTTATATTGTCCTTCATTCTACTCTCTTGAAGATATAGTTTTTTTTTTGGGTGGGTGATTACTGAGAAATCATTGATAAATGAATAAGGAAGATTGTTGTCTAGAATTTTTTCTAAAAAGAAATTTTTTTTACTTGTTCTGAGTAAAGGCCCAGGAGAAAGGAAATTAAAAAAAAAGGAGAAGATCTAGAAATTGGAACAATTTCAAGTCTGAATGTTACTAATTTGGAAATTTTGAAGTGTCTTAGGTGGGAGCTCTAAGAGGCCTAAGAACCTAGGTACACTTAGGCTTTCTTCTTTAGCTTTATCATCTTAATTCTTCTTCTTGGTTTCCTTAATTTGGAACACTTTTATAGTGAATACTGAGATCTGAAATTATTTGTTTGCTTATTTTTAAGTATCCATCAAACAAGCTGAACTTTCACCTTTCCAATCATTCACCTACAATCGACCTAAAGCATAAAAATAGTCCCATAACCCTGATCATGGTACTTCATAGCACCCATTTCAGCCCACCAAACTTCCATTTCTCTTGCTGTGTAGTTCAGGGTCTTTTGGTCCTATATCACTATTACTCATTTTTTTTCCCTCAAAATGGGGTGTCTGCATATTTTCTTACAGGTATTACTGTTGAAGATATTATCAAGAGAGCTTCTACATATTTTGAGCCTGGTCATGACATCCTGGGCTATGCAGATTTACCTCTGGAGAAGAAATTTATCTTCTTGAAGAAGCTTTGCAAATGTGAGTTTTGGCTAACGGAGCAGTTTTGTGTTAAGGAATTTGAGTCTCTTGGTTATGGGGAGTTTTTCAAATTCTTAGAAAAAAATTTCTGCTTACTGCCTCATTCGTTGCAGAAGTGGTTGGCTGGTGACAGATTTGAGAAGCTAGCTTTGGAGGCTTGTATGATCCAGCATCAACTGTGTTTATTATTATCGCAAGCTTCAAATAGCTTATGGGAGAACGAAAGTATAAGCAAGCAGAGAATTTCTGAGTTGCTTATGAGGCAGTTCCCTTCAGTCTGTTTCAAAATAGTGGAAAGTGGTTCCTTGAATGATTTACGGGATATTGTGAGGGTCAATGAAAACAATGTCGTTTCCAACTGTGTCTTATTTTCTGCAACTTTGTTGGGAATGGGTTATGTTGGAGACACATCAGCCCACAATGAGAAAAAAATTTCAGAAGCAGCTGGGGTGGAAACTGAAATAGGCCGTAAAGCAGGAACCTTGGGTTATGTTACGACCAAGGATGCAATTGAAGTTTTACTTAGGGCTCCAATGTTGACAGATTTAGACTCTTGGTCACATTGGGACCTTATATTCTCTCCTTCTCTTGGTCCTCTTTTGGGTTGGTTGTTGAATGAGGTCAATAACAAAGAGCTGATGTGTCTAGTGACCAAGGGTGGTAAAGTTATCCGAATAGATCAGTCGGCTACCGTAGATTCATTCTTAGAAGCTTTTCTTCAGGGATCCTCTTTCCAAACAGCAGTAGAACTGTTGTCTTTGTTTTCACTATATGGGGGTGACCAAAATGTTCCCTTGTCCCTTTTAAAACGCCATGCACAGCAAGCATTTGAAGTAATTGTCAACAATTTTATGGGAGTGAAAGTGAACTTTGGTCAGAATTCGGTAATGCATGAAAAACCATTGTGTTCAGAGCCTATGTTGGATGAGAACAGATCTGGCAGTAAGTTACACAAAAACAGCTATGGAGCTAATAAGGCGGGGTCGACTGCATCAAGGTTTATCCTTGATTGTCTGGGCTGTCTACCTATGGAATTCCGCAGTTTTGCTGCAGACGTCCTGCTTTCAGGGTTGGGATCTGTTGTCAAAGATGTCTATTCAGTTATTTTGGATGAATGCAAACAAGTGGAGCAGCGTCTCATGCTTCATGAAGTAGGATTGTCTCTTGGTATTGTTGAGTGGATTAGTGATTATCATACCTTTTCTAAGTCAACTGACCTAGTGGCACCTGGACCTTCATGCTTAAACCCTGCGAGTTCTGAGTTGAGCATGGGCAGAAGGTGTGCGGAAGTTGCATTAGACAGGTTTACTTCTTCAGAAGATGAAATGATGGTGTCAGCGGAGGTCGAGCGACATAGCGAAGAACATAAAGGAGTCCGTACAATGGAAAATAATGCAGAGATATCTAGCAATAGTTTTGGTGAAAATCGCAAACAGAATTTATCTAAACAGACTGAACTAGATAGAAGTAGCGATCCAGTCAAATTTATTGAGTCTATTAGGAGAGATGAATTTGGTCTGGATCCAAGTCTTTCAGTTATGGAAAGTAACATGTTGAAGAAGCAACATGCTCGCCTAGGCAGAGCCCTCCATTGCCTATCACAAGAGTTGTATTCTCAGGATTCTCATTTTCTTCTGGAGTTGGTAAGTGTGCTCTGTCTGTTCTTGTTTAATGCTTTATCAGATGCCTGTATTAGTTATGTACTAGTTAGTGTAGATTTCTAAGCCTGACTTTTGTTCTGAATTTACTACAATCTAATTTCTCAATCCTTTCAAATTTATAATTTGTTATTCAGTAAATGAAACTACATCAATATTTGTAATTTGTTAGTTAGTAAACAAAACTGCATCAATATTTCTAATTTGTTAGTCGGTAAATAAGACTCCATCCTCAGTCATTTCTATTGTATTACATGTTAACCTTCTTACCAATTCTTTGTGTGTAAGATTGTTAAGATATTATATCCCAAGTCTGAAGTTAAAATGAATGTTGATGTGCATCTATGCTTTTCTTGATGTGTTTCGATGTTGTAGTAACATCATTCTTGCTGTAATGTTGCTTTAGGTTCAGAATGCCGATGATAATGTGTACCCTGGAAATGTGGAACCAACTCTGTCATTCATTCTTCAGGAGGGAGGCATTATTGTCCTGAATAATGAGCAAGGGTTTTCTGCTGAGAACATCAGAGCACTTTGTGACGTTGGAAATTCTACAAAAAGGGGATCTACTGCTGGATATATTGGGAAGAAAGGCATTGGCTTCAAATCAGTATTCCGGGTATTGAAAAAACAGACAAACCTGCTGAGTATTTTTTGTTCTTTTATGTTTTTTTTATATAAATCGTATTCAAACACATTGTTTTTTAGGGGCTGGGGGGGCGGGTGGGTGTTTGGGGAAGCAATATTGTTGTAGAAAATGACTAGTAAAGAGGGAATGCTATAATGAGAATGTATGAATATAACTTTGTCTGTCAATGGCAGATATTAGCCTTGTAATAAGCTCATTCTCTTTCCACATATCCTTTGGGAAAGAGCATACACAGCAATTTTCCATCTGACCTGAAGCTTTGATATTTCAAATTTGTTATTAGTAAAAGCCGGGATAGGTCAAGAAACCGTAGCAAATGATGGATAGCAGACCACAGGCAGAATAAATTGGGTTTTTTTTCCCCTTATTACAGAACCCTTATGTTGAGTACTTTGTTTACTAGTCATGATGGATGCTTTGTTTTACATCATATTTAAAACTTTTGTAACAAATCTTCGAAAATCAATAACCTTATTGGATCTTGTTAAACCTCACTGGGTAAACTATATGTTAAAATGTCCTTGTCCTTGCAATGAAATGTACTCATCCAGTCCAACATTTGTCACGTTTCATCGGTATTTCCAAGTTGAACTCTTTCAAGTTATTTATTAAACAGCTCCTTGGGCTAGTGGATTAGATGTTCTTCTTCTTCTTCCTTTGCTTCTTATTAGTTTTTAGGTATTTATGTGGTTCATCTTTTTAACATGTATATTTGCACTGGCAATTACTTTGTAATTCCATGCATTCCTTTTATGCATTAGAGGAAAAGTTGGAAGGAATATATTGATTTGGTTTTGGAAAATTGGTAGCATCACCAACCAATTGTTTATCTGTTGCGTGTCTTGGTGTTCATTTGATAGTAAAAAGTGGTTTCAAAGTTGATATATGAGGAGAATTTAAAGGAGTTATTGCTCATTACAGTTAACTTGCTTCAGGAAATTTGAGCCAGCATCTCAAAAACTTAGGTATTTTAAAATTGGGTTAATCTCATTTTGCATCCCGAAAGATTGTTCGAATCTCAATTTGCACCCTCAAAGATAAAAAATCTCAATTTACACCCTCAAAGATAGAAATTTGTATCAATGTGCACCCCCAAAGATCAAAAATCTCAATTTGCACCCTCAAAGATAGAAATTTATATTAATGTGCACCCCAAAGATAAAAAATTTTAATTTGCACCCTCAAAGATATAAATTTGTATCAATGTGCACCTAAAAAGTAAATTGATAAATTATACCTAGATCCCCTCATACTTGTCACTTAATCATTTAGACCTCTTCACATTTAGAATATTACTCCTACATCTTATGACATTTGTCCACGTATAACACGTAACCTATTTTCATTGATATCTATTAATACGTTAAAAAATATAATTTTATCCTAATAAAAAATTATAATTTCATATTACCCTTTATTTTATGGGTTTAATATATTCTAAAGTTTAAAATCTAGTTTACCATTTGAATGTCTAATAAAATGTAAATATAATGTTTTTCATATTACCTTTTATATAAATATCTACATTTTATTAGACATTCAAATGGTAAGCTTGATTTTTAACTTTAGAGTATATCGAATCCACAAAATAAAAGGTAATATGAAATTATAATTTTTTATTAGGATAAAATCATATTTTTTAATGATTATATTAACAGATATCAACGAAAAGTGGTTATGAGTTACACATGCACAAATGTCATGAGATGTAAGGGGAATATTCTAAATGTGAAGGAGTTCAGATGATTAAGTGACAAACATGAGGGGATCTAGGTATAATTTATCAATTTAATTTTAGGTGCACATTGATACAAATTTCTATCTTTGAGGGTGCAAATTGAGATTTTTTATCTTTGGGGATGCACATTGATACAAATTTCTATCTTTGAGGGTGTAAATTGAAATTTTTGATCTTTGGGGGTGCAAATTGAGATTTGAACAATCTTTTAGGGTGCAAAATGAGATTAACCCTTTAAAATTCCATCTCTAAAGGGATTCAAGTTTGTATCCTCTGGAAATATTCCTATTCAAACTGACAGCAAATTGGAACGACATCTGAATGCGTCTGAGCATTTACATATTAAATTGTGAATTTTTGACCTAAACTTCTTCATGGGCTTGACTTCTATAAGATAACCATAAGCTGGGATAGATGAGTTAATGGTCAGTCACCATTGACCTAGAGGTCACTTGATGTGGATGAGCCCTCAAATCTCAGTTGAGAGCTCAGAGTTCCAAAACTTGGGCATCAAATAAATTGGGATTTAATTAGTATTATCATTTGGTAAAGTTATGGAACTTATGGTCAGACATCTGACTGGCAGGCTAGAGACTCCCTTGTGATCCTTTAGATTCAGAAGCTTGTAGCTGGATTGTGAGATTGAAGAGCCTTGCTGCTGCAAGGGGAGTGCAAGCTTACACAATATATATTTGACTCTCCACTAGGTTGTCTCTGATCGGAGAATTAAATGAATAAGAGAAACATCGACCATTGGGCCGAAGTGTGTGAATAGTGACGTCACACTACTACTTCACTGTATTGTTCTTATCTTGTTTCAAATTTGTTTAGGATTTTCTTCTTTTTTTCTTGTATTATTGATAGAGGAATCTTGTCCTCTCAGGTGCTTTTGCTCTTTATATTTTTCTTGATAATATTCTCTCGTTTTCTATCAAAAAAAAAAAAAAGAAAATGAAAAACAGAGAAAGTGACGAATGAAAAAGTTTCATATAAAGAGTTTCAAGTCGGTCTACATTTACCTTTTTTAACTGTGTTCTTTTTACCTTCTTGGTCCCAGTCCCATATAACAACTTTTTATGTGCATCCTTCTTTTGTTTATTTTAGCATTCCAGGCAAAGGATGAGTCAGGATTTGCACTTTTTGTCTCCAAACAAACTTTTTTGATCGCCAGAGGAATATTTAAGTACTTATCAGAGACCTCCGCAGACGATTTTGAGTATCTATCTTTTTTAAAGTATTTTGAAAATATATCCGAACTTCCTAGGGTTTTCTTCTTATAGGTCAATTGTGATATTGCAATTTGTTGGAAGTCACATATTGCATGGGATTAATTGATTCTGTTAGAAACCTCGGGTAGGTTTTTGCTTTGTACCCTCCTTAAATACTGTTAAAATGGGTGAAGCATTTATGTGAAGGATCTACCTCCCCTTTACCGGGAATATACCTCCTTCCAAGAGCAATCCTTCCCTAGTGCTACTTGGGTACTGCTCTCATATGGTGCTTCGGCTTATATGGGGGTGGGGAGACGACTTTCTCCCCGATGTGGGACAGAGATAAAGGCTACTGTGGGTGTTTGATCCGCAGGTTAGTCGAAATCCTTTGATGGAGAGCGGGATATCCCCGGTAATGGGGAGGATTGCTCTTGGAAGGAGGTATATCCCAGGTAAGGGGGAGGTAGATCCTTCACAATTTAGATTGCATGTGTTTCTGTGAGTCAATGTCTTTCTTTATTTTGCATGGTATGAGCGCCATGGCTCCTCTAAAGCTGCATGATATGTGTACTTCTTAGAACTTTAAGCGCTGGAAAAATAAATTGGCTGTTGGTTCCTTTGAGCGGGATGCTGCAGATTTTTTTATTGTTCTGCATAATCTCCACTCTGAGTATGCATTGATTGCTCAATAGCATCCGGTCTGGTCTGTGAAAATGTATAATTTTTTGTAAGTGTCTCTTGGTTGAACTGTGGTTTGGTTTATCTAATTTCTAGTGGTAGTATCCTCCAAGTGTTTAGTTGTGCAATGGTGGTGGGGCGATGCAATTTACTTTTTGACTGAAAAAAACTTGGGCCTCAATCTTTTGTCAGCATGATCATGGGTGCTTTTTGCTCCATCTGGAGTGCACTTGCTGATAAGGTGAATGTTTTATGAATATGAATGTTATTATGGTGTTAGTGTCTGTGGTGTTTTTAAGTCCTCACAATTGTCAAAATGTGTATCATATTGCATATTGTTTTCTTAAAATAGTATATAGTGTATGATGTGGCCTGATTTATTGTGAATCGTAAGACGTTCTTAATTCTTTTTAAACATGTACATAGCTATCTAATATTATAGCAAGAAATTTAAATTGCACATTTATAAAAGCACAACAACGGTTGAGATTAATTTAATCTTCATCTAATTCCATCTAATTAAAACAACCCAAATTAAACTTTATGTCTCAATCATTTGGAGTCGGCTATATGAGTCCATCTTTGTTATCTATTTCGGTTATGTGGTATACACTCATTTAAGTTAAATATTTTTATATATTTTCTTATTATTTCGTTTAATGTTAATTTAGGTTTGCCATTACTCTTAGGACCATTAAGAGAAATTCTATCACTTTTTTTAACTGGTGCCTCTATCGGCCTCTGTTAAAGATGACCAACCATCTTAATCTATTTTTTTTTTAATTTATCCTCAATTAGAGTTATTCTTACAATTTTTGTAATATGGTTATTTATTATTTTATCATTTTTAATTTTTTCACACATTCACTTTAACATTCTTATTTACGCTGTACTCATTTTATCACTACGCTGTTTCCTAGTTGTCCAACATTCTGTCCCATACAACATTACTGTCTTTATAGTTGTTCGGTAAAATTTGCTTTCAATTTTATTGGGATTTTTCTATTACATAATATATTAGAGGCTTTTCTCCACTTAAGCTAACTGGCATTCATTCTATGAATTACATCGTCTTTGATCTCTCCATTTTTAATAATCGATCTGAGATATCTAAATTGTTTACTCGTTGATATTTCTTGATTTTCAATCTTAACTGCTTCACTATATTTACTTCTTTTATTACTAAAATTTTATTGAATGTATTCAGTCTTATTTCTTTTTATTTTAAACTCTTTTGACTCGAGTGTCTCTCCCTATTTTTAGCTTGTTGTTAATCCCCATTCAAGTTTCATCTATTTAGACAATATCATCTGCAAATAACATATACCATGAAACATCATCTTGAATGTGCCTAGTGATTTCATACATAATTAGGGCGAATAGGTAATGACTTTTTCTTGGTGTAATCCAACCGTGATTTAAAATTATTTACTTCCTCCCACGGAAGACCTAGTTGTAGTTATAGCCCTATCATACATGTCTTTTATTCCCTCAATATCCTATTCGTCTCTCCTTTTCTCTCAACCACCCTCCATGTTATATTTTTAGGCACTTTATCATATGACTTTTCAAGATCTAACAGTTAATCTATTAGGCATAAACTGAAACTGATTTTTTGAAACTGTAGTCTCAACCCTTAAGCGACGTTTAATAACCCTTTCCCATAGTTTTATTTTATGACTCATCAATTTTATCCCTTTATAATTATTATAATTTTGAATATCTCCTTTATTTTAGGTACTAAAATATTCGTTCTCTATTCATCGGGCATTTTCCTAGTAGCAATTTTATTGAATAATTGCGTTAGTCATGACACCCCATCATTCTCTAAACATTTCTAAACCTCAATTAGAATCTCATTCTATCCAGAAGACTTGTTTAATTTTATTTTCTTCAATGCAATCTTTACCTCTGAATTCTTTATTCTATGAAAGAACGTGTGTGGTCTAGTTTCATGGATTCTACCATTTTTTATCTCTTCTAAATTTTCTTAGTGTTTTTCATTTAATTTTCATTTAATAGTTTCTCAAAATTGTCTTTCCACTGATAGTTTATTTCCTCATTTTTAACTAAAACCTTTGAATTTTTGCCCTTGATGCACTTAATTTGGTTAGAGTCTCTTATTTTTTTTCTCTAGTTTTAGCTAGTTTGTAGATGCTTTTTTTCTCCCTCCTTACTATCTAGTTTTTTAGTACAACTTGTTGTAGGCATTTAATTTAGTGTCTCTAACTATCGTTTGAATCTCTTTGTTAATTAATTTATATCTTTGGAAGTTCTCGTTATTTCTATTATTTTGTCATCTCGTAAAAGATTATTTTTTTACTTTACTTACATCTTATACGTCATCATTCCACCACCTAGTTTCTTTTTTCACAAGCTCTCTACTTTTTGACTCACTAAGAACCTCTTTCGAATTTTCCTAATGCATTCTGTCATCCTACTCCACATAACGTTAGTCTCATACTCTAGGTTCCATACGACCTCTTTAAGCATTTTATTAGTATTATTTTTTCATTTTTTAGATTCTATCATCTCGTTGTTGTTTTTCTAATACTTCTCCTTATTTTATGTTGCCCATTAATATATAAATTTAGAATTGTTTGCCAGTGTTGAGATATTAAGCTCTCCCCCAAGATAACCTTACAATCTTTACATGCCAAGTGGTTTGTTCTTCTACTCAAGAAATAGTCTATTTAGTTTTTGTTTGGTTTGCTTTTAAAGGTTATTAGATGTTCTTCTCATTTTCTAAATAAGATGTTTGTTACTATAAGGTTATATGTTATTGAAAACTCTAAAATACTCTTTCCGGTTTCATTTTGATCACCATATCTATAACCATCATGCACTCTCTCATATTGTGTCTTATCATTTTCTACATGTCTATTGAAATTTTCATCTATGATTATCTTCTCTCTTATAAGTATATGTTGAACTAATTCATCCATTTACTCTCAAAATTATTTTTTAATATGTTCTCTAATCCTACTTGGGGTGCATAAGTGCTAATCACATTAATTATATTCTTTCTAACCACAAGTTTGAGAAAATTCATTTCAGAAATAATTTTTTTACCTAGGAATATCATGCTTTGTGCACATCCTCTAATTTTGTCTATGTCTAGTCTAATTTTAAATTACGTAATTAAATAAAAGAAAAGAAAAATAAATTTTTATTTAAAATATAAATGTTGCACTATTGATGCTCAATTTTTGGTATTGCAGAGTGTCTTTTGACACGAGATTATTGTTAGTGTATATATATATATATATGTATGTGTGTGTGTGTGTGTGGTTCCTAAACAATATAAATAATATTTCAACTTAAATCCACGGAAGATTACAGAGTTTAACACCTCAAGTCTACAACATAGTTAATCAATATCAAAATGTAAAGATCGTAAAAAGTCAAAACAATGCAGTCTTTATTGTTCTATGACTCACATTTCATCTTGATCTTCAGTTTCAATGGCATCAATGTTGTCATCATCGGATGCCAAAAATATTTCACCACCTCTATTTTTTTCAACCTTTATAGGTATTCAGCATCTTTGTTATTTCTTTCATCTGCTTGGGTTTTTTTTAGTGTTCTTATTTGACAAAATATTTATTGGCTCCACATTGAGACAATATAAATTATGTAAAAATGTTGCAATGATTGAATGAGTCAACAAATTTAAAGATATTTATGCAAATTATATAGGACATTTGTCTCTCTTTTTTTTTTTACTTGCTTGTTTTTGAACCTATACAACGTAATTTATTGTGTATTGAATATTATCGTGCTATAATTATAGTGTATTGTATGATACGTTGTAAAATGATACACTTAGACAAAGCATATCATTTTACTCCTATATCTAAATGTAATGTATATATTGTATTGTGTATTGTAACTTTGTAAGATACTAACAACCATGGCCTTAATTGCTTTTTCTGTGTTAATTATAGCATTGCTCCAAGTTGCTGTGATGATCCTAGTTTATTTTTGGCTGTCAACATTTCTCATATATATAAACTGTTAGAACTTGGAAGGTAGTGGAGTAAGGGGCATTCCTTGTTCTGATGCCATTTCATGATATGGCATGTTCTCATAATATTGATTTTGGTCTTTCTGCAGGTCACTGATGCTCCAGAAATTCATTCTAATGGATTTCATATCAAGTTTGATATAAGTGAGGGCCAAATTGGTTTTGTTTTGCCAACTGTTGTGCCTCCTTGTGATATTGACTTTCTCAGTAGACTCGCATCCGTGGATACTGATCAAAGGGAAATTAACTGCTGGAACACATGCATTGTGATTCCTTTTCGATCGAAGTTTTCAGAAGGTTTTGCCATGAACAGCATCATATCTATGTTTTCAGATCTTCATCCATCTTTGTTACTTTTTCTTCACCGCCTTCAGTGTATCAAGTTTAGAAACATGCTCAATGATTCACTCATTGTCATGAAGAAAGAGGTTGTGGGAAATGGTATCATAAAGGTTTCCCATGGGAAGGAGATAATAACTTGGTTTGTCGCATCTCAGAAATTGCAGGCTGATGTCTTTCGTCCTGATGTCCAATCTACAGAAATTGCAATAGCATTCACATTGCAGGAGTTGGATAATATGGATTACATCCCGCTTCTGGAACAACAGCCGGTTTTTGCTTTTCTACCGCTAAGAACTTATGGTCTAAAATTTATTCTCCAAGGTGATTTTATTCTTCCTTCGTCTAGAGAAGAAGTCGATGGAGATAGTCCATGGAACCAGTGGTTATTGTCCGAGTTCCCTGGCTTGTTTGTCAATGCAGAGAGATCTTTTTGTAGCCTTCCTTGTTTCAGAGAAAATCCTGGAAAGGCAGTTGCTGCTTTTATGAGCTTTGTTCCTCTTGTAGGAGAAGTTCATGGATTTTTTTCTAGTCTCCCACGGATGATTGTTTCTAGATTACGCATGTCAAATTGCTTGCTTCTAGAAGGTGAGAATAACGAATGGGTTCCTCCATGCAAGGTTCTAAGAAATTGGACTGAACAGGCTCGTGCTCTTTTGCCTGATAGCTTGCTTCGAGAGCACCTTGGCCTTGGACTCTTGAATAGAGATATAGTTTTATCGGATTCATTAGCGAGGGCACTTGGGGTTGAGGAATATGGACCAAAAATTCTAATCCAGATTATGTCTTGCTTGTGTTGCACAGCAAATGGTCTCAAGTTAGTGGGGCTTTGTTGGTTATCTTCTTGGCTCAATGCCATTTATTTGATGTCTTTCCATTCTTCAGGAAAGACTTCCCTACATTACGGGAATGAATCAGATCTTACAGTCAACCTTAGGAAAATTCCCTTCATTCCTCTTACTGATGGTAAATATAGCTCAGTGGATGACGGTCCAGTTTGGTTGCATTCTGATGCCTTAAACTCTAATCCTGATAATGAGTGTGGTTCAGAAGCTTTCCCCAAGTTGTATGCAAAACTTCGGACTGTAAATCCTGCCCTTTTTTCTGTATCTCCAGCTGTTGATTTCTCATGTTCTGACACGGCTAGAGTAGAAAACCTTACTATGATGCTTTATAGAGTTGGTGTCCAAAGGTTATCTGCACATGAAATTGTGAAGTTACACATCTTGCCAGCTATTTCTTGTGGCAAAAACACAATAGAAGGCAAATGTTTGATGACTGAGTACCTTTCTTTTGTTATGTTCCATCTACATTCAAATTGCTCGAACTGTTTTGTAGAAAGGGAGCACATAATCTCAGAGTTGCATAATAAAGCTCTGATTTTGACAAATCATGGATATAAGCGGCCTGTTGAGGTGTCCATTCATTTTAATAAGGAGTTTGGTAATCGTATTGATGTAAAGAAGTTGATCAATGGAATAGATGTGAAATGGCATGAGGTTGACATCACCTATTTGAAACATCCCATCACCAAATTGTTACCTGATGGAATGTTAAAGTGGAGGAAATTTTTGGAGGAATTAGGAATCACTGATTTTGTGCAAGTAGTTCAAATTGAGAAGTGTGTTGCTGATATATCTCATGTTGTTCCGAAGAATATGACGTGGGAGAGAAACATGATTTCCCCTGGGTCTTTTGCCAAAGATTGGGAGTCTCGAGAGTTAGTTGATCTGATGTCACAGTTGTCCTCAAGCGGTGACCGGGAAAGGTACAAGTACCTTTTGGAGATTCTTGATACATTATGGGATGATTGTTTCGGTGATAAGGTTACTGGTTACTGCAATTTTAATTCCACTGGGGAAAACACATCTTTCAAGTCTACATTTATGGGCGTCCTCCATGATTTTCAGTGGATTGTGTCAAGTATGGATGATGAGCTTCACTATCCTAAAGATTTATTTCATGATTGTGAAGCAGTACGCTCAATTCTGGGTGGTACTGCTCCATATGCAGTTCCTAAGGTCGGTTTCATTTCTTTACACCTGGATTACCCCTCAATCACTATCCTTGATTTTTTGTTTTTCTTTTTTCTTTTTGCTTACAATTATGTACAATATTTCTTTGCCAAACTTTTGAAAAAGTAGTTAACGTCAAAAAAATTATTGTCTACATCATAAATGGAAAGTTAGAAGACACTTGTTCTTTCATGTTAGGGACTATACACGAACTCTAAACCTCCATCCCGCAATGCAATATTTCTATCATGCAACTATCGTGCTTTTGTTTTTGCAAAGCTCAAGTGAATAACTTGAAGAATAAAATTCCTTAAGGGAGAAAAGAACAATGGAGTCCTTTAAAAATAATAATAGGGAAGAGTTTGATGAATTATACGTAGAGGATTTTGAGGCTTGTTCAATTATTGGCTGGCTCAAGTTTGCTGGGTCCATCCCGAATGTCCCAACTCAACACCAACATTCAATGTTTTTAACTTACCAATCTCAGTGTAGTAGTTTAATAAAGGGTCATTATCAGATTGATCCCCATTAATCAAGGGTGCTGAGAAGGGTAGACTGAGTAGAGAACTAACCTTTGGCATTGCTTGCAAAAGGTGGTTGTACTCATATTTGAACCCACAACCTCATCGTTGTTAGCCTGACAATTTTACCACTACACCTGGCAAAGAGACTTTTAATATGCTATGGTGTTTTTGGAGCAGGTGTAGTAATAAAGACATTTACAGAATCGATTCGCCTGATGCAATAACCTCAGTGATGGGAATATCAAAACAGTTTAATTCTTTTCTTTGTTGAATAGGTCAAAATACACTTAATAAGGTCTCATCAATAGAGGAGGGATCCAATAGCACTCTGATGCAGGACAACCTGTAGCAGCAAGAGTTAAATCAACAATGGAAAAGGGAAGGAGATATTCAATAGAGAGAAAATAATAATGTTAAGCAAAATAGCTTGAAGAGTCAACCTTGCTAGATCAAGCAGTGTCAGATGTTTTTGCAGTACAGTTGATTGTTAGCCACTCACATCCGAGGAAAGATTCATCATGATCACAAGCATCAAATGAGTAAAAAATTTCTGCATTTCATTGTCCAAAGAAAAGCCACTACAGTTGTCTATGGAGGGGGCTGCTGATTGGGAGCCAAGTGAATTTGGTGACCTTTTTCTGTGCCCACGTATGGCAGTCTTGCAATTTTATTTAAATGTGCTCAGGTCATGAAATCAGATTCAAAAGGGTACCCACAAACAAATAGAAGACCTTTTTTCTTCATCATACACAATGGGATTGAGCAGAGGAGGATATAATAAAAAATCATAATTTTATGGTTTCACTGGGGCAAAAAAGCCAGTTTGAAATGATCATTGGTATGATAAAACACTCATCACTTGTTCATTACGTCGTTGAGAAATAAGACAGAAGGTATTACTTTTATGAACAGATACCTTATAAGAGTAAAATGAAAGTGCTGTCCTCACTGGAATGATTAGAACCTGGCCTTGTGTTTTCTCAACATCTCTTCACCTTGCAAAACTCTTGAGGTTGTCATGGAATATTGGTAGCCTCTGCACTATTAGTGTTGCAGGGACTTTAAATTTCTTACAGAGGGTTATAATGTTTCCAATTCTACATCTTTTTTCTTTTGATAAAATAGTGTCTTCTATAAAAAAAAAACAGTATTACTAGTGATATATTTCATGATGTTAATAGTATGCTCTCTATGTTTTACACATTGTGATTAAAATATAGCTATTTTGGAATTGTTGATTATTCCTAGGAAGTTGGAGATCCATCCACTATTGATCCTTCTAATTATGTTATGTTACTATTTTTTTTTGAAGCAGCTAAGAAGTGAAAAGTTGTTGAAAGATATTGGATTCAAGGATCAAGTTTCTCTTGATGATATTTTTTCTGTTCTTCAAGTTTGGAGAAGATGTGAAACCCCCTTTAAGGCCAGGTAAAAAAATAAGTAACGAGTATTTGGTCCTCTGAATTTTGAATTTTTATTCTCTGACAACTAGACCAGCTTGCTGTTGGTAGCTAGCATTTTTTTGAATTGTCTAGTGGAGCTAACTTTGAGGAAGTTTTGGTTTCATGCTGAAGAGAAAATTAATTCATCACCAAGTGTGATCTTTGTTTTTTCATTGTTTCTCTTAAAAAATTTCTTCATCATCACTTAAGAGTTTGTGCACACCCCAAATTCCAATATGGTTTTCTAGAAACAATTGGCAACTACTTGTTTGAATGTTCGTTCACACATTGCTTATTTTTTGGGTATAATAACTAAGTTGTTGTGCGTGTGTGTAAAGCTCCCATTGTTTTACTACCTATTCTCATTGTGTACTTGAGTACGGGGATTGTATCATCTGCATAAGGAGGTTGTGGTACCTAAAACCACATATTTTCCCTTCTAAAACATCATTTTGCTTTATTTCTTACTGCATTCTTATAGTTGATGTTACTTCCAATTATGCAGCAAATTACTGTATTACAATCATCAAAAATTTGCCCGAGTCCTGTACGATCGAAGACATACATGTTTTTTTTAAATATGAAGACGTACATGTTCACCATGTGAATTTCCCATTTTCTGTTTGTCATTTTCAAATACATGCTCATTTGAATGGCTCCTTAATCTTTTTATGCCAGCTTAACACAAATGTGCAAATTCTACACATTCATTTGGAATGAAATGGCAAATTCAAAGCAAAAAATTATGGAGGCATTGCGTTCTGGAGCTTTCATATTTGTTCCATATTCACCTGGATCCACAGCTGAGGATGTGGTACCAGGTGTATTGTTGTCTCGTCAGGAAGTGTACTGGCATGATTCAACTGGTTCCATGGACCAAATGAAGACGATCCGTCCTCAGAATGGCCCAGATTTGACTAATTGTCCATTCAGCAAAATGTTATGCTATGTCTATCCTGGTCTTCATGACTTCTTTGTGAATGAGTGTGGAGTAGAGGAGGCCCCTCCTTTCCGTTGCTATCTTCAGATTTTGATGCAGTTGGCAACTGTCGCCTTGCCTTCACAAGTAGCTAAAACGGTGAGTTTCAAAGCTATAAGCAATCTATATCATCATTCTTGAGGTGTTCATTGCTATCTAAGATTTTTTTTTGCATGCCTCAGGTTTTTCAAGTTTTTCTTAACTGGACTGAAGGATTGAAACACGGATTACTGAGTTCTGAAGATGTGGAGTACTTCAAAGAGAGTCTTCTGAAAATGCAGTTCAAGGTGCTTCCCACTGCACAAGATAAATGGGTTTCCTTGCATCCATCCTTTGGTTTCGTGTGTTGGGGTGATGATGAGAAGTTAAAAAAGGAGTTCAAATATCATGACAATATCGATTTTCTTTACTTTGGTGACCTTAGTGATGAAGAAAAAGAGATGCTTCTGGCAAAGGTTTCCATCCTTATGCAAAGATTAGGAATTCCTGCTCTCTCTGAGGTTAGCATCATCTCCTCCTCATATCCTATAGGCATTGACACTGTCTTTCAAATCTGCTAACTACAGTGAAAAATGAACTTCATTGACATTTACAAGGTATATGATTTGTTCTATCAAATAATCACCATAAAGTTAGTATAATAGTCTATTTCCTTACTGCATAAATAGATTTCTACCCTGGTTTTAGAATTTAATCTTCTTTTGCACGGTTTTTCTCTCGTTCATGCAATAGGATTTTTGAGCATAAACTATCATAAAAGCAGAAGGAGCTCACATGATGAGTAGTGGTAATCCAATATGTTTGTGTAAAATGCTAATTACCAACACTTGTCTAGGGTGCGTGCGTGCTTCTCCCTCATGCGGTGTGTTTTGTGTGTTTGTTCTCATGCGCATGTGTGTGTGTGTGTGAGAGAGAGAGAGAGAGAGAGAGAGAGAGAGAGAGAGAGAGTAAAACAATACGAAAGGCAAGTGGTTTATTATCCTGATATTCATGTTATAGAAATCTTAATTACTTCGGAATTATTTATATATATGTTATGTGTGTATGTGTATGTTTGTGTGTGTGCATAATATGTATGTTGTGGCATGAGGTTGAAACTTGAAAGTGTTTAAACCAGAGAGTGATATTAGCACTATTGGTTTAGTTTACCCTGTTTTCCCCCTATGATGTAGTTAGTGTTGTCAAGGATTAAAATTTTATTTTAAAACGGCCGAAAAGTTTTCATTTTCAAGGAGACCGAAACGAAACAATGATGAAATTGAAATTTAAATTCTTTGAGGTACTATTATTTCAAAATGTTTTGATATGTTTTAAGATGTTTTGGTATATTTCGACCAATGTTTTGGAACATTTTGAAAATAAATTCTCAAAATTCTGTTTTCGAAACATTTTTGAAATGTTTCCATTTCCTAGGTGACCAAAACACTGCACCGGAACGAAATTTTGATCCTTGAGTGTTGTGGTAGATTTATGTAAGCATGGAATGTCTGTTTGGTTTAAGCAGTTTATGTAAGCATGGAATGTCTGGTAGACATCTATAATTTAGAGAAAACTAAAAAAGTAAAAATTTGAAGAAGAAAATGTCATGTATGGCATGGGAAAGGCAATTTTTTTAACTATTACTCTTTTCCTAAACTTTGCGACTTATCTATATCCTTCCGTTTCTTTGTGCTGGTTGATGGTGATCACTGTCTAGTCTTATTAATCTTATGTTCAATGCAAATTAATCTTCATTCTGAAATATTGTTCTTTTTCTGCATCGACTACAATTATGTCTAGATGATCTGATTAAATCAAAAATAAAATATATCACTGTCATTTACTTCATCCTTTTCTAGTCCATTGCAAACACTAAAAATTAACATAGCTTTTTGAAAGTCAAAACAATTTCACTGAAGATTGAACACTAGCAAAAGCTTCTCTGTAATGTTTGCAAAGTAGCAACCCTTGGGGGCGGGTCGATTCAGCAATAGTAGAAGTTGCCATTAATTTCTTGGAGTTCTTTATCTCTCTCTCCCCGTCCCCTCCCCTCCCTTCTTCTGTCTCACTATATATATAGATGTGTGTGTGTGGGCGCGTACATGTGGATGCACATTTTTCCTTGTTTTTTATTGTTCATTCTGTGTATCTTTTTCATTTTGAGTGATTTCTGGAGTCATGAATAATTGAAATCAAAAACTCAATGATTTGCATTTGCCAAATCAGGCAGTTAAAACGCTGGTGCCTTACTCTGATTCCTTCAACATATTCCTAAAGCGGAGCATGATATTTAAACATGAATTTTAAGGTAGTAGATATCTATACTAGCCATGCAATTACTCATCCAGAAATATAGGCAGGCATGTAATATGTACATGTGATTTTGTGCAATGCATTCAGCTGTTTTTAGCAAACAACTAACCCGAGATGTCATGTCTTAGCACTTAAATGGACCTTGGATTCAATTGATTCTGTGAGAATATTTTTTAGGACTGTTCAAAGCTTGCCCAAGCTTTGTTTAAATAATTAGACCAGCGTAGCTTGAGCTACAAATTAAGCCTCTATATTTTAATGAACCAAGCTCAATCAATCAGCTGCTCTGCTTAGCTAAGCTTGAATCTAGGTAATACTGTAATTTCAGCTACTTCATTGGACATCTTGGATATAATGTCACATAAGTCTTGGTTCTTTCAATCCCATTTAAGTATCAATTAGGAAGTGAAACCATGGCTAATAGTATGATTTTGGCAAGGTCCTGTATAAACTTCACAGACAAATTAGCTGAGAAATGTAGCTTGTCTTCCCAAACGTGCTGTGATCTATCTTTATTGTGCAAAGCTTTCTCAAGCTCATGCCGTGCCTGAAAATTGTTATTACCTGTTGAGTGAGCCGGAGTACTATAATACTCGGCTTGGCTCACCTCATTTACATCCCTAGTTTTTAGAATATTTACTTTCTTGCAGGTTGTAACTCGTGAAGCTATATATTATGGGCCAGCAGACTCTGATTTTAAGGCTTCATTGGTAAATTGGGCTCTTCCATATGCTCAGCGCTACATCTATAATGTCCATCCTGATAAGTATCTTCAATGCAAGCAGTCTGCTGTAGAGAACCTGAGTCGTCTGCGTATTGTTGTTGTTGAGAAGTTATTTTATAGGAATGTTATAAAGTCATCTGATATTGCATCTAAGAAGCGATTCGAATGTAGCTGTCTTCTACAGGTATGCAAACATATTGTGATGAGTATATATTTTTTTTCTTTGTTTTCCTCATTTTTCCTATTGCCATTTTTTGTAGTTTCTTTTAGTATAATAATTTGAAGACCAACAAAGCATTCCTGGTTGGCTAATTCTTTTTAAACTTTCATGCTTGCATGGAGATTGCTTTCTGGCCAGGGTATACTGTTATGCTGTTAGATATTACAGGCTATAAGAGAAGATTGGTCTTTTTTGGAACCTTCATGTTATGGCTAGTACTACAGAAACGTGTAAATGTTGTATTGATCCTTTTCCTTCTGTATTAACACGAAACAGGACAACATCTTGTACACCACTCAGGAATCAGATTCACACTCAATATTCATGGAACTTTCTGATTTATTAGTTGATGGAGTTTCTGGATTACACTTGGCAAATTTTCTGCACATGATCACTACCATGGCAGAATCAGGTTCCTCTGAGGAGCAGACAGAATTTTTCATCCTGAATAGCCAAAAGGTGCAAAAGCTTCCAAATGAAGAATTGGTGTGGTCCCTTTCATCTGCACTATCATCAACAGAGAATGGTGATATATTGATGACAACTAGTGCTTCGACAATGGTAGATGAACCTAACCCTTCACAAGCTAAGAGGAAACCTGGAATCAACTTGAACTGGCCACCTGTAGATTGGAAAACTGCACCTGGTTTCAGTTATGCCCGTGCAAATAGATTGAAGACACAAGCATGCGATAGCCAACAAATGGGAAAGGGGGATGAAGCTGAAGTAGTAGTGGCAGAAACAGATCATATGGCTTCGATTGAGATCAATGCTGATTGGATTGTGGAAGATGATCCAGCAGGAACTACACCTGCTGTAACTTTACAAGACCCCGAAATTTCAGGAGATTTGTCTGATCGTGCAAACAATATGGCTGCTTCGGATATGAATGTTGTATTTGATTTTGTTGATCTAGTAACTGCATCTGATGTCCCAAACTCTGGTTCATCTAATTCTATTGAGAGAGATCAGCTTTCTTTTGGCACAGCCAATGCACAACAGGCATTGTTAACAGGGAGACTAGGAGAGTTCGTAGCTTTTAAATACTTTGTGGGGAAATTTGGTGGGACATGCGTGAAATGGGTCAATGAAGCTTATGAAACTGGACTTCCATATGACATTGTCATAGGAGACGAGGAAAAGAGCAAGGAGTACATAGAAGTTAAAGCAACAAAATCTTCTAGGAAGAACTGGTCTATTATATCAGTGAGAGAGTGGCAGTGTGCATTTGAGAAAGGTGAATCTTTTAGCATTGCTCATGTTGTTCTGTCAGATAATAATGTGGCAAGGGTCACAATATACAAGAATCCCATAAGACTATGCCAGCTAGGCAAACTACAGTTGGCTGTTCTAATGCCAAAGCAGCAGAAGGGTACTTCTATCATCTCCTGAGACTCTTGTTCAATATTTGTACTTGTGTGGGGTTCCATGCTGTCATGATCGCGGAGTGTGAATCATTCTTCAGTTGTCTGAATTTATTATTTCATTTCAAGAGTGCTTCCGAAATAAACCAATATCAGATCAGCGCATATGGTGGAACAGTGCCTGAATGCAATGGTTGCTCCACCGTTGCACTGCCCTGTTAAACTAAGCAGAAGTCTTTGCACCAAAATGTAGTTCCGGATTGCTGGATGTAGCTATGACAAAGCGGAAATTTATAATCGAGAGAGTTGACTATAGGATTCTGAGATGCTTCTTGTAGGAGTATCTACTGCACAAGGATCACTTACAATACAAGACTCTACCAAGGAAGGGGTTTGGGTTAGGAGCATTTTTATCAAAGCCTCTGGTGAACTTTCAAGCTTATTAATTGTACTAACAGCAATTGAATAAGGATTTGTAGCTGCATTGTAAATACCATCAGAAATTCTCCTTTTTTTTGTCTCATAAGATGGGGATGGCTTAAGTGACTACCTGTAAACATTTCATTACACTGATACGGTTAGATATATTCAGAACAATGCGAATATTTAAGAAGTCTGCAGTAAAATATGAAGGTGTCGAGATTCAAATATTTGTATTTGTATTCATTTCAGTTGTATTATTTTGTTTAGACAAATGTTCATGCATAGTAGTCGGTGGTGATTTGTTCATGATTTATGGTCCATCTTCCATGCATGAATCAGTGAATGATTGATTTGGGAGGCTGTTTATTGCTTGTTCTAAATTCGATACCCGGTAAACAGTGATAGTTGAGACTATATAAATCTTTAGTGGCTTTGTTAAAGTATGAATCATGATTCATGGGACAGTCTGTAAAATGTTTGCACGTCTATGTGAATATTTCTGTGATCGTAGAAAGAAGTACGCAAGTTTTGTTCAGTCAAAGGCACATCCATTTAAACTTGATATGAACTTGCAGCCATTGTTGTAGTTGTGCTTTGATACAAACTTACCGTTCACTGCTAAGTTTCAAGCTTTGCGTATCCTCACAATTAGCGACGAAAACAAGAGAAAAATATCGGAGAAAGTGGCACTACAACTCGGTTACGTACGAGTGTTTTGCCTCACAAGGATCACCTTGTTGATTTAAAAATGGGGAATTGGCTACATTTATGGCTCAGCTATTCCCATGTCCAACTACTGAAAAGAAAAGAAAAAAAAGAAAGTGGAAATCTTTGCTTCAACATTAAAGATGTTTTATATCCTTCAATTTTGTAAATAATGAAAAATATAGGGAAAATAAATTGAGATACCCTTTAAAATTTCCCAAGCCAAAAAATCATCAACCAAATATTTCCAGAGTCACATCCATACAAGCTAAAGCCTTGCCAAACTCTAGTCCATGACAACTATGCATCTTATCTATCTCTCAAATAACTTGTGGATCAAAAAATAAGTGAGACATGTCTCCTAGAACTTGTAGCTTTAGATTAAAGAATCAGATAAAGATACTTTGACCACCACCTCAATTAGGCCACTGCTGGACATATTTCCTGAACTATGATATTTCTCATATTGCACCTCCAATTATAGTTCGTAGTTTATATTTCCCTAATTTCAAACATCCATTATAAATTGAACAAAATATTGTATTGCTTTACCCTTAAACTATGAGATTTTGTTTCATTTTGTTCCAGTATTGAGTCTTAAACATCACTAACATTTTGTTTTCAACATCACTTACATTTTGTTTTAGACAATGCGAAACTGACTCAGTTGTTGACAGATAATATGAGAAACTCAATAGTAGAAAAGGTGACGTGAGATTGAAAGTTTGAAACGATAGGATATAAAGTGTAATTTCCCTTAAGAATTATCATTTTGCCCCCTATTGAAAGACACCTCAATTTATGAAGCAATATAATATAAGGGTAGGAAATTGCTTTGCACCCCCAAAAAGAACTACTTAGAGTTCTTATTTTATATTATTAGAAGTGTAGGGCAATAATGTAATCACTCACAATGTCAGTTTATTATAAATGAGAGAGTGAAGGACAACATAGCTCATATACAAATTTAATATTCATTTTCATAGTATTTAAAATTTATTTTGGTATAGTGGCAATGCTATAGGGTGAGGAATTGTTCTTGGGTGTAGTATGATAGTTGGAACTGGTATGCCATATACTTTAAAGTTTTATAATACTGGAGCAATATTATTGGGTGAAACCATGTGATTTTGGAAGTGCAAAAGTTTTGGTAAGCCTTTATTGTGATGTCAGTTAATCCTTCTTTGCTTGAGTTTTGATTCGTTTACCATTTCATCAGGTGAAAGGAGAGCCAAATATTTCTTAAATCTATTATTATAGTTATTATTGTGCTCGTGAACTCATTTTGGTGCCACCGAAATATACGACTGCCACAGATTTATGGTCTATAGTTTGCTTCATGACTGAATTACTTCTTGGCTAGGTACTTTTTGCCTTGATGTCCATTCAGCCTTATCTCCGAATTTCGGATCTCTATTGTTTAAAGTTACTTTTATCTAACCTACTTTTTGATAAAATCGTTGTTTTACAAAAAAAATATAGTAGATCAATTAGTTGAGATCATCAAGGTGATATTATCTATTTGTTTTTTGCATCTTTTGGTTAATAATTTATTTCAAGAAATTTCCTCTTTGATCATGGGCTTGAAGATTGAGGCAACTGTTAAATGGAGTCTGTCATAATTCTTGTTCCTGGTTGAAATTGTTTGCTATAGGAGGATATATTTGGTAGAACTTGGTCAAACACGGCAGCCTAGCTCTGCTATCCGATTGATGAAACTTGGGTACTCTTCAGCATGACAATCGTGAAGCAAAAAACACAATTGGGCAGGTCGGCACCCACTTGGGTAGCCCTATGCCGGTTGGCATGTTGCTTGGGCCAGAACCCTGCTGGTCAACAACCTCCAAGGGAGGCCCTTGCTTGTCGGCACCCTACTAGAGAGGTCCTTGCTGGTCGGCACCTCACACCTGATGCCACCAAGGGTTAGCCATCTCCTTTCCACACGAGTTACTACGACCTCTCTCTAGTCCATCTCTGCTAGGAGAGTCCTACTCGGATAGGGATCAACCTTAGATCTAGATTCCTAGTACGATACTTCTCTGAATAACCATGAGCTAATGATAAGGACCCAGGAGTAAGTGTCCCTGTCTAACTCTACTCCAAACTCTTAGGAGCTAGTGATGAGGTCAATCCTATCACAACTTAGAGTTTGGGTTCCTTTGGGACACAACTGCCAACCACTATAAATAAAGACCTCTGAGTACTAGGTAAGACATTCAATCCTAGCCTATTCATGCCATACTCTTCTTCGACTTTCAATCTGACTTAAGTATCGAAGTCTCTTTGACTGCCTCTGACCATTAGTTTATCTAAGTGTTCTCTTGTCTTGTAGGTTACTCAAGGCTTCATCACTGTCTGTACAAGGTGGTAGCTCATAGTGCAAAATTATTCTTGCATAATTAGCGCTTTTTATGGAAAACAACTAAGTTTTCTAACAACAAAGAAGCCTTGAACCATGTCCGGTAAGAGAACCCTCGATCCGGGAACCAGCTGCACGACACTTCCACTACCCCCAACCCTCAAAGATCTCACTAACTATAACCTCCAATTATCGGAGGACATACTACTTCGTGATGGACATGAGCACTCTAAAGAGAAACCTCCTTCTCATCGTAACCTACCTACCCTCGGTGCAGAAGATGGGTTAGCTATCGAGATGGATTACCATGAAGTAATAAGGAAGAAGACGGAGGAGTTAGAAGTTCTCAAGCAAGGCCTCCTATGTTAGAGTGGCAAACGACTCGCCAATGAGATCAAACATCCAACCTCTAACTTTCGCCTTTGGGAGGATCGTTGGGAGGAAGCCCATTCCTTCCGACGTAAAAGCCATTCTCCAACAAAGAGTTATTCGCCTCATAATCAGAGTCAAAGCAAGTACTCACCAAGGTGAAGCGTTACCCACCGCACCTTCAGAGACCCTTCTCCGAGGCACAATCATCCTTATCGTAGGGAGGAAAGAGGTGAACCATGTAGAAAATGCCATCCTAGGGCACAAGGGGAATGACATAGGAGCTCAACTCACTATCATAAGAGAAGCCGTTAGGACGATGACTATGGAAGAGAGAAGTGTAGGCGCTCTGAGCCAGCTCGTGAAGTCGCCACTCGACTGTAACATAACTTCACTCAAGATGACCTCAAATATTTAGCGAAGGAGAGGGCGAGGCAGACCCTTGCAAAGATGACTACCACACCTTTTATTCGGGCTATACGAGAATCCAAATCCTAATGTAAGTTCACTGCTTTGACTTTCAAGTTATATGATGGCAAGTTTGATTCTGTGCTCCACTTAGGGGCCTTTACTAATAAGATGACCCTCTGGACAAGCAATGAGGCATTGATGTGCAAGATGTTCCCTCAAGCTTGGGGAGATCGACTCTTAAGTGGTTCCATGGGATGCTCGTGAACTCGGTCTTATCTTGGGAACAACGCACCAGGGAGTTCGTTTCTCGATTCATAGCCAATAATTGAGAGCCAATGACAATTGACACACTTTTGGCATTATGCCAAAAATGAGGGGAGACTTTACTAGTACGCTACTAGGTATTTGGATACTTATGCCGCTATAGAAGAGTGCGATGAGAAGACTGTTGTTGTCTCTTTCTGTTTGGACCTCCCTAGGGAAAGCGAGTGGCAAAAACACCTCACCATGTGGTCACCCCAAAGTATGTCCCACTTGAAGGAGCATATCAAGAGGTATGTGAAGGTAGAAGACGACAAGGGGCCAATGGACTAGTTACTTTTGTCCCCAAGGAAGAGCCATCAAAAGGAAGATAACACCACTAACCTGTCAAGGAAGGATGAGATATCCAAGAGAACGAGGGATTCATATCAAAGAGTCAATACCATCTTCAAGGAGCCTATCTATCTGATTCTGAACTAGATAAAGGATATGGATTGTTTTAGGTGGCCACCGAAGATGATGGGAGACCCCTTCAAGCGAGACCAACACCTTAATTGTTCTTATCACAAGGATAAGGGCTACCGAACAGAGAATTATCGAACTCATGCGTCACTTGGAAGAATTGGTCAAGCAAGACCATTTCTCTCAGTACATAAATAAGGAGAAGACTACTAAGGAACAAGTAGAGCAATAGCCCCAACCAGATGGCCAGCCTCGACCAAGGGACGATCAACCTCCCAAAGTGAATGTCATCTTCATCATAACTCCCCTAATGCAAGTTGACTTGGTCCAATCTTGGATCGAATACCGAAAAGCTCACATCTTTAGCATGTAATGCAAGCAGATCACCAAGGTGGTCACACTCCTAAGTGACGAAAGGCAAAATCAGAGAGCATTCCCATCACGTTCTTAGATGCTGATTTGGAAGGAATGGTTCATCTACATAAAGACCCCTCATTCTTACTCTTAACATGAGCGACTTTGAGGTAAAATGTGTGCTCATTGATCTAGAGATCTCAACGGAGATCATGTACTATAACCTCTTCAAGAAGTCAGGAAAAACACAAGCTATTCTTCTCCAAATGACGATTTCATTTGTTGGTTTCAATGGCATGAAGGTTTGGCC